CTTTCACAAAGTAAACCCACCTGTGTAACCAGCAGGCCGAGCTTATAAGAAAAAGTCCAGAGGCCTGCTCTCTGCCTCAGCCAGTACGTGCCCTTACAACAGCACCAGAAACAAACTGGGCTCGATCTCAAATCTTGTGGGCATGTGAACTTCACAACATGCACCCCTTTGTGTCTTCCCTCTCTTATTTGATGTGTGTGTCACAATATGATGCTGACTTAATTCAAATACGTTGAAGAGTCACCATGTGCCCAGCATCACACTAGCCATTGTCAGGGATACAAAAACAATGAAAGATACACTCTCCACTTTGTGGGGAAAAGCCTCTACTATACCTAGCATGTTGTTTAATACAAACTCAGCACTTATGTATAATATTTCCCCAAAACCTAGGATCACTCTATTAGTGTTAGCTACAGTCTGAATGTGTTCCTCCAAAATTCTTAGGTTGAAATCTACCCTCCATGTGATGGTATTAGGAGGTGGGGCCTTTAGGAGGTAATTAGGTCATGAGGGTGGAGCCCTCATCAATGGGATTAGTGCCCCCATAAAAGCAGCTCAAGAGAGCTCCCCTGTCCCTTCTCCCACATGATATTACAGAGTAAAGTCCAGAAAGCAGGGTCTCACCAGATACTAAATCTGTAGGAGCTTCGATCTTGGACCTCCTGGCCTTGAGAACTGTGAGAAATTGATTTCTGGTGCTTATAAGTCACCCAGACTGTGGTCTACTGTTAGAGCAGCCCCAATGGACTAAGGCAGTATTCCTTCAAAAGCCACTTTGGTCTTCTCTACTCTGCTGGGAGAGGGGTAGGATTTCTGTTTGGTGGTAAGTGGCAGTGCGGGGTGGTGCAGGTTGGTAGGACAGGCCTGGCCCCACCGCTAAGGGGCCACGCAGCCTGAACAAAGCCTTTGACTACACTTTACCTTCGATTTGAGAGCACCAGGGTCACGCTGGGGACCTTTGAGACACATTTGAGAAGATTCACATAAGTGTACATCAAGTCTAAATAAGTACCATGTTGGGGGAAACATCAGATGCTGAAATTAATGCTTTCTGAAAACGGGACCCAAACTCCTGTGAAGTGATGGGAACGAGCCGTGGGGAAAGGGCAGCTCTCCCTGCTGGCCCTTTAAGAGATTTAGGTTAGCCAGAAAGAGGGTTTCCTCGGAAGGGACCCAGAAACATGGTGAGTGCAGACGAGCGTGAAAAGGAAATTCGGGAGAAAGCACCAGTGAGCCCGGCTGCCTTTCACTAACAGACTCAGAAGGTACACGCACCCTCGCTGTCCTGCCTCTCTGCTCTGTTGCTCAAGCTTACCCATCACATCGCAGTATAATAATCACGCTTCCAAAGCTGCGCTGACTACAGTGAGGGAGTTCCCTGGTGATCCTGCCAGACCATCAGTTGGGTGTCATGTAGTGAGACTGAATTCCTTGTGTCCCCAACAGGCTGCATGTGTGTGAGCATGAAGGATTGTCTAAGGAGGCAGAATAAAGGGTCCAGAATCAGAAAAGCCAAGAACTGTTGAAGGTGGCTGAAGGCATGAAAGGCGATGCAGGACCGAGGACTTCTGGCGTCTCCCACCTCCCACTTAGCAGAGAATTCTGGACCTGTTTTGTTCCATGCATTCCGTTAGCTGTATGGAGAAGCCTATGGACACATGCTCTGAATGCTTGAAAAAGCCAGGGAAAAAAAAAAAGGCATGAGACTACAGAGGAACACCTAATAACATCAATTTGTGAAATAGTTTTATGCGTGCCTCCTTATTCATTCACTAAATAATAGGATCTAGCAGGAGATTTAATAAGTACCATGATTTGGAATAAGAGATGAGCACAAATGATATTGTGAAGTATCTGTAACAGCTGCAGTGTGCTCTGAAACTGTCTGTTTCTCCCTTGGGGACAAAGTCACTAATATTGTTAATACTCCTGTGATGTATTATTGATATTCCTACTTACAGGAAGTACTAACTCTTAGCTAGAGGTTAGTGAAAATAACGATGTAAGTTTTCTTCTCCAAGACCATGAGCCCTTTTAATTCTACCTGCAGATCCCTTGGAGGAAGGAAGATCTACGGACCTCAGGTTAAGAAACCCTGGGAAACCTCCAATTCTTTTAAAAGTTACTACAAATTTCAACTTCATCCAACCATTCAGGGCTGGAAATCAGATTCCCAGGCACAGCCTACAAATCCCAGGAAATTTTCCAGCAACCCCAGCCACCAACTTACGGAGACAGGGGCAGTTCCATGTCTGCGTCCTACAGACATCCCGGCTCTCAGTGGCACCAGGAATCTAGAACCTTCTCCCTAGCCCCCATGGCCTCTCTTCAAAGAACATCTTCAGAGAGCCTTCCCCAACTCTCCCCCAACTTGTCAACATGTGCCATGTCCACCGCCCTGTTGTCACCTGACGCTCCTAACACCACCACCTTCTTTACTTTCTTTGAAAGGTCAAGTGTGTTGTCTTTTCTCTATTTATTCTATCTGGGTAATGGCTGGATCAGTCTGAGCACAATGGCAGGCAAGCCCACCAATGAAATCTCAGCTTCACCACATTCACGCCTGAAGGTTCAGCTCCAGGGTGCTCCAGCCCTTACCACTGAGGGAACGACGTGAGGGAGTGTGGACGGATGGGTCTCACTGGGTAGCAAAGGCCTGGCGCATGCATGCGCATGTGAAGAAATCACTCAGACAATGATCCCATAGCGCTGGACACTGGGATGACTTTATTTGTCAATGATTTTTTTATTGGGCACCTAGTGGGTTCCAGGTACTGAGTGGGTGCGCAAATAAATAGACAAGTAAGCAGATATGAAAGAGCACATCCAATTGTCACAAGTGCTGTAAAAGAACTGGGAAGGGACATGTGGAATAGGGTAATGGGGGAGGGGTGCTTTGTTACATGTGGCAGTGGACACCTTCCCTGAGAAGGTGAAATTTAAGTGGAAAGAGACCTAAAAGATAAGAAGAAGGAGCCATCTGTGTGAAAAGTCAGAGGAAAATGGGAGGGGCTGGTGTCTTTAAGAGGGATCAAAAACCCAGGGAGGCTGAGACTGCCCAGGAAAGGAGGATCCGGCGGGAGTTTGGCTGGAGAAGTAGCTGCCAGACCAAGATGAGGGAGTGGAGTGGAATGCTAATAGCACAGGCTCCAGAATCAGACCAGCTTGGCTAGAACCCGGCTCTGGGACTTCTCTAGCTGTGTGACCTTGGGGAAGTCACTTACCCTCTCTGAGCCTTAGCTTCCTCACCTCTAAGTTGGGATCAACATATATGTCCATCATGGAGTTGCTAAATGCATTAAGTGTAAAGCCCTTGCAACAGAGCCTGATGAACAGTAGGTGCCCTGTCAGGGTTTGCTAGAACTTGTCCCACACTCAGTGAGAAGTTGTGGAGGATTTTAAGCTGGGAGAGGAACTATCTGTTTGTCTTTAACAGATTATTGGTCATTGTGCAGGTCATCAATAAGACAAGAGTTGGAAGGGATCCTGGAGGTCATTCACACCAACACCTTCTCTCTGGGAAGGGGAGGAGACAGCGCCTGAAGAGCCACCACTTGTAAAGGCAGAAGGATAGCTGTCCCTTAAGTGCACTGGGCTGGACAGAAGGTCAACAGGCAGCTGGCCACAACTTCTGGAGAAGGGCACATCAACCACCTGCCCCCACACCCCATTAAGGAGCCCACTTTTCCCATTTCCAGAAGATTCCAGGTCCCACATTCTGCTGTCCAGCTGGTTTCTATTCCTGCCAGTGTCAATGTCACATCTCCTGGACTGTAAATGCCTCAAGGGCAGCAGCCATTTCCTTCTACTTGCACTGTGCCGTGACTGACAGGCCACAACCAACTGAGTCTCAGAGCTTTTCAATAATTGATTGAAAAAAGGAAGGTGGAATCATAGCATTTGAGTGCCATTCCCAGGGCTCTAAGCTCTATCAGGAATCCAGGGGGCCCTGGAACGTCGGTAAGTCAGGGCCCTGGGGGATGGGGATGGGGGGCAGTGGGCGGGCGGCCTTCCTCCAACACTCCAGCCAGCCTCTTCCCCTCTGGCCCTCCAGAGGACATTTTGCTCTCCCCACCTTGAAAATGCATTGGAGTTCACAGCCTCTGCAGGGAGCTCCTTCCAGCCTCTTCCCCTTCCCGCTGCACTGTTCAGTGGGGACACCACCCATTTCCTGCCCAGAGGGGCTCCGGAGACAAGCCAGTGCATAGGCTAAAAGCCCTCCTGTCTCCAGGGACATCTTCAGAGCGGCGTTGGGGGAGGCCACAGCGAGCCCCCCGGGCTGGCCGGAGCTGAGGGCTGCGGGGAGGGGGCCGGCTCCGCGGTCCTCCCCATTCACCTGCCTCTCCAGGCCCCAGCGCTCCCTATCCAGCTGCCCCTCTTCAGCTCCGGGTACAGCAGCCCCTCCCCTCTGGCCTTCGGTGGGCTTCCCCTTCTCAGCTTTGTCAGTGCTTTCGCTCCACCAGCCCCTGACCCCTCCTCCCCCCACCTCCTCTTCCCTTTCACTGTCCCCTTCCTCCTCCCTCCAATTCTGCAAGCCCCTCAGTCTCCCCCAGTCCTCACCGGCCCCTTCCCAGCTTCCTCACAGCCCCTTCCCATATCCCCCTTGGAATGCCTGACTCACATTCTCACCTCCTACCCCAGCCTTCCTCTCCCCACTCCTCCCAGCCCCTCACGCTCCCCTCCCAGCCGCCACATTCCACTCCCAGCCCCAATTCTTTCCCAGTCCCCTTTCCCATCTTCTCCCATGCCCTCACCTTAGCCCTCGCTCTCCCTCCCCATTCCTCTCGCGTCCTCAAAGCCTCCCATCGCTAAATTACAGCCCCTCCCCCACCCTACCCGGTTTTCCCGGACCCCTCCGCGAGGTCCTCGACCACCGCCGCCACCCCCTGTTCCCTGCCGGGCAGAATCGAGACGGCTTCCCCACCCCACGTTCCCCCGCTGCCGCAGCCGCGGAGACCCCACCTCTCCCGGGGAGGCCGAGGTGCCGCCCCGCTCACCTGTTGGGCGGGCTGGAGTACGCCGGATCTCGCCTTCTCCGGGTCGGGGTCCCGGTCCCGCTGCAGCAGCCCCTTCTTGGGGTGCATGTGCCGACACAGACAGGTGACCCCGCACAGCGCGAGGATGCTGGTGGCCGTGCCCAGCGTGGCGCCCAGCGCGATCACGGGCACCGACAGCACCATGGTGCCCGCACCGCGTGCGGGGCTCGGGCCCGCCGCCGAGCACCTACTCCGGCCGGGCCCGCCGCCCGCCGCTCGCCGCCGCCACGCAGCTCCGGGCTCCGCGCGCGCCAGCAGCTCTCCCGCCGCCGGAGGGGCGGGGAGGGAGGGCGGCAGCGAGGACGTCAGAGGAGGGGGCCGGACCGAGCCGGCTGGTGGCCCGCGCTCGGTACCGCGTCAACTACCACCCCTCCCCGACAACACGTGACCGGACCCCCCACCCCAACACGAGCCGGAGCCTTTCAAGTGGCAGGAGCCTTAGGATTGTTTCCGGCCTTTCCTCGGGCTTTCTGTACGAAGACGTTTGTTCCCAAGAAGGGCAGGAAGCCACCCTGTTGTAGGGAGAAAACTGGGGCTCGAACCCCTTTCTTCGGCTCCTTCTGGGTGGCAGGGTGGACTACTAACCCTTTATTCACACTCGCAGGCTGAGGAGGATGTAATATTTGTTCCTTTAAGGAGCTTTTCAAACACTAGCACGCAAAGCTGGAGATTTCCCATCTCCCGAACTTGAACTTGCCAGGTGTTCGCTCAGGGGAGAGGGCCAGGCAGCAGGGCAGAGGGGATTGGTCCCGTGTGTGTCCGCTCGAGGCTGTCCCCGCGTCCCGGTGAAGACGGTTGCGAGGGTCCTATCTACACTGGCATCCCCTTCAGCGTTGACCTCAGCAATGACCCGTTAGTTCACCGTTCTGACCTAATTTGATCTGCAGGTATTCTCACATCCATTTACTGATGAGGAAGCTGAGGCTCGGAGGGAATGTGGGGCAGCTCGAAAAATCCAGTCGTCCTGAACCCAAATTCAGGTTCGCAGGTTCAAGCCCACACTTCACACTAGGAGAAAGGACTTGTTTTAGAAGAACAAAGAGTATCAAACGGGCAGCCAGGAGTCCACACTTTATTGGGGGGGGGGGGTCGGGGACGGAGTAACAGAGGTAAGCTGAGAGGGGAACTGGGAATTCGAGAAGTGAGGAGGCTTGTCTCAGATCAGACAGCAGTGATGCTGCCTGTTTTTCATTACGCGGAGTGTTTATTTCAGCAAGCACTTGTAGTGAGTAGACTGGACTCCCGGCGGGCCGGGCACCTGTGAGAAGGCGATTCCATCCACGGCAGGGCTGTCTATTGCCCACGACGCTGTGGACCCCCAGATCTGCGGGAGCGCCAGCCAGACCTTTTCTTCTGAGCTGCAAAAGTGGCCACCACCTGGTGCCTCCCAGCTGTCAGTTCCCCACGCCTGCCCAATAAGCCGCTGCCAGGGTTAGGGGTGCCCACCCCCCACACAGTTAAAAATCCTCATATAATTTTTGACTCCCCCAAAACTTAACAACTTGCTAATAGCTTACTGTTAACTAGAGGCCTTACCATTCAGGCTGGCCAAAAGGTCCATTTAGGGGTGTTTTTTTTTCCCCATAAAAGACACACTTTTCATTTTTACCAATAACTTCATTGGTTTGGATATTTTGAGTATGCCGGCTATCTCCCACTGTTGGCTTCTAGTGGGTAGAGGCCAGGAGTGCTGTTAAACACCATCTTCCAAGGCATAAGACAGCCCCACAGCAAAGAATCATTTGGCCAAAATGTCAATAGAACCACGAAACTTCGCAAATCACTTTTGACACGTTCCATCAGTCACAGCACCTTCTCCGTGCACTGCAGGAACCTTTTTCCATGTGTTTCAGTTGCATTTTTACCTTTCCTGAAATAATAAAGCATAATACCCTGAAAATGTTACGTATTTTCTTCCCTCTTCAATATTAAAGTGGCTGCACAAAAATTCACCAATTTTGTAAGTTTTTTTTAAATGCACACTGATATGACAGCTGTCACAATGCAATCTAACCAAATTGTTTCAAATGAAGTTAAAGACAACTAGGCACTACCAGAGCCATCATACAGAAAAAGCCAAATTAACTGTTTGGCCAACCCAATACATGTATTATGTACTACATTCTTACACTATAAATTAAGCTAGAGAAAATAAAATGTTATGAAGAAAATCATAAAGAAGAGAAATACATTTATTGAAAAAAAAATACATATATAAGTGGACCCCTGGAATTCAAACTCACGGTGTTCAAGAGTCATCTGTATTTTGTTTCTTCCCATGATTTTGTGGGCTGACTGGGCTCAGCTGGGCAGTTTTCCTGCTCAACATGCTGTCTTCTGGGACTGTGGTCCACCGGGCTGGAACGTCCAAGATGGCGTCCCCCATGGTGAGCAGGTGGTGCTGCCTGCCTCCGGCAGCACAAGGGGACTGTCATCCAGTGCACTTCGGTTCTCCCATGTGGCTGGAGTGCCTCACAGCCTGGCAGCCAGGTTCCAAGTGGAAGAAAGCAGAAGCTGCCAGTTCTCTTGGGGCCTGTGTTCAAAAGTTGTAGAACATTGTCTCTTTGGTCAAAGCAATAGTCTTCCTCTAATCCTTTCCTTACAGGACATCTAAAAATGATGTTTCTGAAATGCAAAGCTGGCGTTGTCACTCACATGTATAAAAGCCTTCAGAGGTTCTCCAGAGATAAACCCAAGAGCCTCCAGTTAGAATCAAAGCCCTTTGTGACATGGTCCCCGACAATCCCTTCAGACTCGCCTCTGTGCACTTCCCCACATGACCTTGAACCCCAGCCACTCCCAGGGACTGGGGTTTCATTCAGTAAGTTTCTTTAGAGCCGCTCATGGGTGCATACAGCAGGCACTCAGTGACCGCTGAAAGGGTGAATGACTCAGATGATCATCTCATGCAAGACTTGCAGTGACTTGGAAGGAATCCCATTTGCTACATAGCTCTATTTGATTAAATTAACTCTTCAAGTATTTATTTTGTGCCTGCTGTATGCCAGGCACATTTTTCTACTGACCTCCATTTGCTGTCAACTGTGAAGCCAAAGCACCTCAGTCCCTGGTGGTAGACTTAGCTTTCTCTCTCATAAGAGCTTCCCTGGGAGGTTTTCTTGGCTCCTGGGTCTGGCAATGCGAAATGTTCTGGGGGAATGAGGTTTAATTAATGCTGTCATTCCAGCCCTCCCATGCCTGAGCTGCTTCCCTGGGAGACCTCTCTGCCATGTAGCAGGATCCAAGGTGGGGGTGAGGGAAAGGATGAAGAACACTTAATATCAGACATTTTCTGATGGGGATCAGAAACCTGTCATGTGGTCCCTTGTTACTATGGTTACCGAGATGACAGTGGCTGTGGTGCCCTTCATCTTTAGCAGGAAGAGGGACCCCAGCCCAAGAAGAACAGATTGCCTTTCGCCTCCCTCACACACAGTGAGCCCGTGGCAGCGCTGGAGTAGACCTCAGGAGATTCGAAAGCCAGCAAAATCATCAGGACTCTGGGTCACCTTGGCTGCATCTCATCAAAGATGTGACTTTTGCTTCTTGGTTATTGATAATCCAGGCAGTAGCCTTTAATGACAGCTCTCTAAGAAAAGGCATTAGGGAGTTCCTTTGAAAAATGAGATTGTCTTTACTGAGAAAGGCAGTTGACAGAGTCAGCCGAGTGGAACAGCTGAGACAGCCTAAGGATGAGGCCTGAAAATAATTGGAAATCCTGGAGCATCCAGACTGCCGAGAGCAGGCAGAGCAGAGAGCTGGGGGCACTTCCGGAAAGCTGAAGACCTCTGATGGTTCCCTGGCCTCTTGGCACAATATCACCATTGTTATTTTGATTGATATTTTACTTACTGGATGATTAAGTAATCGAAGTAACCACTCTGAATTTCTAAGGTGTTAAAATGCCTTTATCTGGGGAATGTGTTTCAAATATAGAAGTTCTTATATTTAGCAAATATTTATGGTATCTGCATATCATGCTAGGCAGGAAGAAGGAAAATATACAAGGAGAACTGAATTTTAACATTGGAAGGATTTCAGAGGTCACTTTGTGAAATCCTTTCATTTTTACCAATAGGGAAACTGAGGCCCAGAGAGACAGTGGCTTGCCAAAGGGTAGAAGGAGAAAATGATAGAGCTGGAGAGGTCTTATAGGCCGGGGAAGATTACGTTGTGCTGCAGTAACAACCTCCAAATCTCAAGGATTGGCTCAATAAAAGTATATCTTTTGTACATCGCGCAAAAGTATATCGCAGTTTAAGGAGAGTCAGGTGTCTCACATGGGCATCTTGTCTCCAACCGGCGACTCAGGAATCCGGGCTTTTCCTATCTTGTGTCCCCCCTAGTTCCTGCCATGCAAATGGAGACGAGAGCACACTGAAGACCACTTGTGACACTTCAGAGGCGATGCTGGAAACAGAATACATGATTTTCACCCCACGGCATGGGTCAGAATTGAGTAACATAACAAATCTAACAACAAAAAAAGACTGGAAAATATAGAGAAGAACCATGAGCAAAAGCAGTCTCTGCCACATAAGCCAAAGCTTAGGACTTCTTGCCTAATGCACATTTCTCTAACTCATTCCTTAATTCAACAAGTTTTTTGAGTCTCTATCATGTATGAGGCACTGCGCTGAGTGAGAAAGCAAAGATGCTGAGCAACACCCCCCATCATGCAGTCTACGCTCCCGTGGAGAAGACGGGCAATAATCATTCATCACACAAATACTTGTCAAATTAATTATAGCGGTGATACACACCAAGAAGAACAGGTTCAGGACTGGGATTTGACTTGTTCTGATACCAAGGAAGTCTTCCCAGAGAAGGGAGCAATTGGGCTGAGGTCTAAAAGAGTGACATTAACTCCGTAAAGAAGGAAGGAAGAGTGTTCCAGGCCAAGAAGCGGTATGTGCAAGGACCCTGCCATGGAACTTGCACAGCGGGCGTGGACAGCAGTGTGCTGGTCAACCGACTCTTTGAGGAAGAGGGTGGGAATTGATTTTTAGCATTTGTTGATTTCTCTGGTGTAAAATATTGACACCATGGTCAATTTCCCGCTACCAGTAGATTCCTGAATATTTACCAGTTGGCTGCGTGAGCTGCTGGGAGCCAGCTCCAGCACACAGTTAGGAGACACTGTG